TCTGTCCCAGTAAGACGAGCACAAGCTGAGTCTGGAGCCGGAGCCCACTCGTCCACTGCGGGTCGATCTGTTCTGACCTTTAGTGGGCGGCGGTAGAGGATTTGAGTGCAACAGTGTGATGTTGTGCAGCTACAGAGGAGAAGAGAAGTCTTGTATTTTTAGCTGCATTTAGTAATAGCACATCTTGTTTAATGAGTTGTCATACTCTCATGGCAAAAGACTTGTTTGGCAGTGTTAATTGAAAATCAAAAATAAATGATACTATGTTACATTGGTTTGATTAGTGGACAGGAGAAATTGGTCAGTATTTGATTAGTCGGCATTATTAAAAGTAAAGTAAATTGATTAACTTAATTAAATCTATGGCTGACCTGAATGCTTCGTTGACGTGCTACTTGACGTACAAATCCGTATCCGAATGCATCATTTTTGTTATCTTATTATAGGCTGTGCATTACCCCCAGAAAGTATGCCGTTCTGATGCCTGCCTGAAAGTAAAATGACATGTTAAATGAAAAGCTTGACCTCGCCTTGTGCTTTATAACTTCGGTGTAATTAAGGTGTGGATGTGACATAGCAGGTTTAAGTGCTCACATCCAATGCCTAACTGAAAACAATGGTTGATGAAGCTTTGCCATGCTGCAGGTACAGCTCTGTCCTCTCACGATATGTGCCTGTACTTGTTGCAGCTCTGCCGGTTGTTCATCTCAAGTCATTCTTTTATGATTTATTGCAGGTATACCTCCCTTGTTGCCTGACATTTTTCCTCGCCCCAAGATACCGTTCCAGCTGACTGTGCAGTGAAGCACAGATGCAACATAGCCTTAATTTGTTAAGGAAGTGTTAAAAGATGCACGGTTCATTGAAGACTTTAGGAGTGGTGAGGCTGCTTTCCCACATTTGGTAAATTCATAATGCACCCTAAGGGTCTTACCACAACAAACTAAAGTATACCAAATGGATTTCCAGACATCCTGTCATGACGGGAACACTTACATTTGTTTGCATAGATTTTTTTTTTTTTTTCTAAGTTCAACACCATCTAAACCACGAGGGGAGGTTTGTGAGAGTTAGAGATGACGACAATTATTTACAGATCTAGTTTATGTGACATTTATCAACCTAATTGACACTTTTTGCAAATAAAAAGCATTTTTAATAATTTAGTAATTTCACTACATGTTAGTTTGTGACCGTCTTGAATAACTACAGCCAGTTGTTGATCCCGTTTTATTAAAATGTCTGCTCCACTTCAGGCTAAATCTGCATCTGCAAGATAGCGGTCAAAAGCTTGTCGTCATTTCTCACCATAATGTCCACAGAGCTTGATTGTTGATCTGAGTCAGCAGAGTCAGTCTGCTGTTGTAGAAGGATCTGCTCTTTTTATTTCTCTCTCCAGCTCAGCAATGGAAGAAGCAAGTTCAGTGTGTGTTGTTACACAGTGGACTGTGGCCAACAACAACAACAAGGAGGATAAGGATGTTTATTGTCATTGTAAAAACATACAATGAAATTGAACTAGGGGGAAAGGGGCATGCTGCTTGTTTGGGTTATTTTGCAGATTCACCGGGTCAAAGCAGAGAAGAAGAAGTCCCCTTCGCTCATGTGTCTCTTTCTCCTCCCCTTGCCGTCATAGGGTTGCAAAGGGTCGGACAGTTTGCAAAAACTTTCCGAAAAATCTCCAAGGGAAGTTACGCTCTGGAGTTTTCTGCACCATAACAATTTAAACATTTTTACCTTTTTAGTATATTTTTGATAGTGAACTTATTTAAGGTGGGAAATACTTGTAAAAAGTAATACCAGGTCTTATGGTATGTTTTGGTTAAATGAATGCCCATCTAATTGAATTGTAACCATGCGCTGCATCCAGCGGTGCACTCTTACATCACATGTTTGGATAGTTTTCCAGCATCCCAAAAGAATAGGACAAATTACAACCCTCAGCATGCACAATCAACAGTTAACATACTGTAGGTGTGCATCAGTGCAGCCAGACTGCTCCCGTCTATAAAGTTCTCAATGTGTCTACGATAACGAAACAATATTCAACTATGCAATGCTTGAAATGAACATTCGGTCTCTCCCTTTCTCTCTCTTCTTGCTTTCTCAGTGCAGATTATACGCGCGAGGCTGTGAGAGGGCAGTTACTAACAGCTGGTTGATCTGATTTATTGATCCCAGCATTCCCTTGTGTAAAATAGCGCTCACAGCCTGTACATTGTGGCCACCCATGGGTATTGCAACATGCGCATCTCCAGCCCATAAATATTTATTCCCATTTGCATCTCTGCCTTCTGCTTTTTTTTCTTCTAAATCCAACTTTACCGCTCTTCTTCCTCCTAACCTGGTTTTCAAAGAGGTTGTTTGGAGCCGTGCTTCCTCCCTGTCTCCCCCTTCACCACTCCCTCCTCACATGCACCAGCACCACTGAAGGGAGTGCAATAAAACAAAGACTAAGCCAGCAGAAATTCAGCTGTAGCTCAGCTCTTAATGATCCTGCGGGTTAATGCTCAAATCTTCTGTTTAACGCCAAGCATTTGACTCCCGAGTTGCTTTCTGTTCCGTATTTTAAACTCGTAGTTCATTTTTGCTGAGGCGTTCAATCTAAGCTTCCTTAAAACTGCTTTCTTTGCTTTTGAGCACAGTAGTGATAGATTAGACTTTTTTTTAAAAATTTGTATTCAGTCTCCATTTTGGTTCCCATCCTCCTCCTCTTTCTCAAATTAATGAGCCATGTGTGAAAATATTGTGTAGTAAACAGGGGACCCTTCCCTCAGGAAGTGTTTACACACACACACACACACTTGCAACTCTGCACAATAACACTTTTTTCCAAGGACAGTGTTCACTTGAACGCACACACTGTGCTGTACAAATGTACAAGACTGCACTCACACATTGGCAGCAGAGGCACTTAGGTTGAATCCACAGTTCTGTCGACTTTTTATAGATAAAGCACACATTTTGGATTAATCGAGTTACTTAATTTCAATTGATTTTCAAGCATCAGCTTCCAAGAGAACTCTTGCCCGGGTCCAAACTTATGAATCAGCCCACTCCACAGAGTTTGAGTGGACCGTCTGGTGTTGTGACATGAAGCAGCGGTTTCTCGATTTAAATAGTCAAATAAGCGCTTTAACATCTTTGTTGGCCTATCTCGATCCTTCCTCATTTGTGTCTGTGACTGTAACATTAAGCTCCGACTGCCCACGCTTTACAGTAATCTAAAACATTTACACAAATCCTCCCAAAAGAGACGCCTGGTCTATATGGGAGAATTTCCTCCACATCTCTTGATTCCTTCACTCAGTGACCTTTCTTGCACGTTTGTGCTGCTGAATAATAGTTTTGAGTTTGATATGACCCACTCGATTAAAAAATACATTTTACATATACGGCATGTCTTCTCAATATCGACCAGCATCGTAGACTAGTTCTTTTTCTTCTTTTAACACGCTACGATCTACGCTTAAAACTCCGCCACAAAGTATGTTTTCATGACAACACGTCACCTGTTGACTTAAAATTATTACATTCAGGCGGATACGTTGGTCTGTAGTGATTGGTTGAAGATGGAAACTGTGTGTAACGATTTGACAGTTCTGTCTGACATCGGGCAAGATAAATCCTGGAAGTTGGCATGAATTGTGGAGATGAGCCTTGAAACCTCCACAGCAAGTGATTAACATGCGTTTTTTTAATTAAAGGACTACTTTACACCATGGATGGAGAGGGGTTGGGCAATATATCGGTTCACTGTGGAAGACAAAGGGGAGAGGAGGCGGAGGCCACTGAAAAGTGAAGCAGACAAATTGTCACCTTGGCAAGAGAAATCAAAATGCTGACTGCAGCACAAAGTCTAATTCTCACACACACACTAGCTCGACGTGTACAGTAGAAGCATAGGAACAGTTCCTGTCTATCAGCACTCATTGCTTTATCTGTCTGTATACACCGTCGGTAGAATGCTTATCATCCTGTTTGCGTTAATCTAATTCTATGTCCTGATCTTTGTTACTTCCTGCATACATGCACTATTCTGTCATTATTTTGTCGTCTTTCTTTTACTGAGTGCCTCACTTCATCTCTCAGCAGAGTCTCTCAGCCAGAACAGTGGGTTTCAATGTTGCCCAGTCATCTGACTGGAGTTAGCCCCAGCAACAATCTGGGAAGGCATCAGCGGCTGACTCACACACACACACACACACACGCACACACACACAAAGAACAATACCTCCTTTTTGGTGACTTGAGTAGGAGAACCGTTAAAAAGGTTACAATTTATGATCCTCTTCGTCAAGAGAGTACTCCCCAAGACAGACGGACAAACGGGTCACATTAAAAAAAGCTGATTTTCCAAGTGGGTTTCAGTAGACTTCACTATGTTGATAATATGTCATGGAGCGGCATCACTGGCTGATATGCGGCTTTGGCCTTATGGCAGATCCAGCTGAAGCCCAATCTATTTCAGATGCTTTGTTTGTTGTCAGAACATCGCCGTTGCACTGTTGGCACCTCAGCTTCACAAGCAAGTTACCTGCAAGTGAAGTGCAGAGCATAGAAAATACAGAAGCATCAGTTACGATAATATGTAAACTATTTCAGGGTCATATTGCAACTGTGGTGCGTTTAAAGTGTTGCTAGAGATAAAGAAAAGCTGTTTAAATCCTGTTTCCAACCTTCCTGACGAAAAACCATCAAAAGAAAGTACACTTAAGCTGTCTCACACAGTTGAATTGGATTGCTAGCTTTTATGCATGTTAGTAAGCGCTGTGCAGCTTTATTATGCAGAAACGGAAATAAATACAAATAGAATAAACAAAGATCATCAACCGATATTGGACAATATTAAGAGATACAGGGCAAAAAAAGCATGATCATCTGGACGTTATTTTGTTCACTCAGTTCAGTTATTTTGTGTGCGTGAGATGATTTAGTTTAGTCAAAGAAACTAAGCAGTTAAAGCGATCCTAACCTGCTTAATTGTCTGTGTTTTGCAGCTCAGAATGTGACGGTGGAGGAGATCCTCTCTTCCTACAAACAAGCCTGTCAGAAGCTCAACTGTAAACCCATCCCCAAAGTGCTCAAACAGATACAGGTGAGGTTCAACACGGAGAGTCACACACACACGCACGCACGCACGCACACACACGCACGCAAGCACGCTAAAACACAAACTGCAACGTATAACCTTCATTCTAGCTTTGGCACAGTGTGGTCTCGAGTATTTTTTTCTTTTTTCTGTCTCGCATAGTTTCGATTGTATTGTAACTCAGTTTGTCTGCTGTTTGGAGAGGTTTCATTTCACCCAGTGAGGACGTGCTGAAATGCTGCACAACAATGTCAGAGAAAAGGTCGTGAATGAGAAGAGCTTGAAATAAAATGATGTTATTTTTCACCTCTAGTTGAACGTCATAATCTTTTCTTAAATCCTTTAGCAGAGTGGAAAGTCATCACAACCCCGGCCCGCTGAGCTCCTGCTTTCACTCGATGTTATTTGGCCTTTCCCCTCTACTGCGGTCCTTGTCGCTTCAAAAACCTCAACAGCAGAGCTCAAACATTTGTGTTAACCTCGCTGGTCCCCAGCAGACCACTAGTGCACAAGGACAGGATCCCTCACCAACCTCCCACACAAACAGACGTCAGCAAATTGTTAGGTGTAGCCTCGACATTTAATACTTTTAATTTGTCCTCATCACATTACAGTATTTGTAAGATTTGATAAAGAATGTTTTATCAACACTAAACTTTTAAGATAAAACCTCACCATCTAACCTGCCATGCTCTTAGCTTGTAGAAACATTTGAAGCAACACCTCTGTCCTTAGTTCCTGACTGTGTGTCGGTGTACATTTACAGAGAACTAGACCCGGCCCAGTCTCAAGGTAGTTACCTGTGGTGAGTTCCCCAATCTTCAAAACACAAAAGCCAACACGTATCATCTATTGACTGAGCTGCACAGTAGTGTGCTGCTCACATCGAGCGCATTGACTGAGGCTAAAGTCTAACAAAATTGCTGCCTCCCGATTCAAGAGTCAACAGAGGCCTTAACAAGATTGTGGAAGATCAGAGCCACTGAGGTACAAATAACTACGTATACCACAAGGCTATATAACATGTATTATAATAGAAACGTGTCCCGTTGAGGCAGCGCTGTGCAAGCTGGCTGAAAGCAGTTAGGACGTCCCTGTAGGTCCACCAAAAAGTTGTATATAATTATGAAGGTTCCTGTTCGTGAGATTGAACAAAATTTAGTTCCAAGAATTACATCCCAAGCCATTTCTTCTGGTGATGAAAACACTTCAAACGTCTGTTAATGTGGTTCGAGGGCACGGCATGATGCACAATGGCTCTGGACAAGTGCTACTGTAGTATCCAGTAGAGGTGGGACTTCTTCCTTTTTCAGCAAGGGTGGTTGTTCCTCCCTACAGGCAGACGAGTGTTTCATGTCTTCTTCTTTATTTTTTTTTTTGCCTTCTCTTGTGGGTTAGCCAGCACAGTCATGCGTCTCATAATCCCTCTGCATAAGCACTTCTTCAAATCCAGTGGGGGAAGCCTCAGGGCTGTTTGTTTTGATATAGGCTATTTCTGCCGACCTCGTGCCTTTGTACGTATGTGAATTGGTGCATGTGCTGGATATTTTATTGCTATTGTTACCATGTTGAAATGTTTCTTATGTGGGGGTTTTATTCCACTGAATGTGAGACGTGTTCTTTGTCACAGAGGGCAAAATGGAGAGGGACTACAAATGAAAGGGCAGAGAAGACAAAAAGGCATTTTTATTTAACCTCCTTCTCAAGCAGACATGCATTACCGTCCACTTATCACCCAGTTTTAATGATGCTGGTAACCTGACACTAGGATGGTACATATAGTAGATAAATCACAGTAAAACTGGACAATCTGCTCAAGTGTCTGTAGAGCAGCTCTCCGGGTTCCACTAACGTTCCTTTACATCAGAGCAAATGCCTGCAATCCATCCCTGAGGCTGGTGAAGGAGGCTTCGATGGTAGCCTGGTGCAGAAAAGCTGAGAGGGCGATACGGCCCATGCACACCATGGTATAATAAACCTTAGAAAGCAGGTCATCTGTGACCAGACATTGAGGTCAAGGTGCACCTGGCATCCGGCCTAAGAGCCTCTTCAGGACAAACTATGAGGGCAGTAATGGTAGGCTTAATAGCTGGCATATCGTGAAAGCCTCCCCTGTTCCAGCACTGGAATGGAAGGTCAGGATAAGTGACTTCATCAGTTAGCAGATCCACCCTAGAAGACAGCTTGTCAGACTTGGCCATCTTGGAGTGAGTGAGGAGAGTTAAACATAGTGGCGATGCTGGAGAAACTCCTCAGTTGCCGAGGATGTAAAGTCTAACTGTGAAAACAAGGCAGGAAAACAGTCTATGCAGTGAGAGGCTAGAGAGGACACTCTCTCCACTGGACCATAGTTGTGAGATATAAAGACTCGACCTGCTTGTGTGCGAGACAGAAGATATTCAGTGTTAAAGCACAAAGCTCTGTCCATGGCAGTCAGTAAGGAAGAAATAGAGCTGACATTTAATTGACCGCTTTTAGCTTAGGGGGGTGGGTACACTGTCCTAGAGTTACAATTACTGATACTTGCAATATGATAATGCATAATAATAATATAAAAATAATAAGGCCATATGTTTAATGTGAACGTATCAAAAGAAGACGGGGCTCTTGCAGGCGACAACCTCCGAGTGAAGCCGGTGCGGGAGTGTCTATAAACATGCTGTCTCTCTACTGGCCAGCAGGGGGCAACTCCTCTAGCTGCAAAAAGAAGTCTGGTTGTATTGAAGTCTATGAGAAAATGACTCTACTTCTCACTTGATTTATTACCTCAGTAAACATTGTAAACATGAGTTTATGATCTCAGTCTTTAGTTTCAAGTCTTCTTTAATACAGCATGATGTTCCTTTACTAAATGATTATGAGTATGCTTTAGGGCGGGGCTTACTGTGATTGACAGGTCGCTGCCACTACCAGAGCCGTAAACCTCATCACTACGTCATTCCTTCGCCTTACAAATATGGTCACTTCCATTCACCGGTTGCAGAAAGACAAGATGGCGACGGCCAAATCGCCATCTTGTCCACAAACCAAAGGGTGATGTCACGCTGACTAAGTCTGCTTCTTATATACAGTCTATGGTTTCTTAATATGACAGCCTCTGTCTAATATAGACCAGGACTTTTATTTTAGTAAATAAATGCCCAAGCCATTTCAGGGAATTTTATGTTTATCTGATACCTCTTTTATTTGAATACATGTTGTATGCAAACAAACTGTATATATGTTCCTGTCTCTGCTTGGATTTGTGTGGGAACATCCAGTCACCAAACTGATTCCTCTCTAGTAAGACAAAGGAGTTGTCGGTATTAGCGTTGGCAGCAGGGACACATTAGCACTTTCTCCTGTTTGCTCTGTTGCACTGCAGCACACACTCATAAAACCCTGAGCTGGGCCTCTTCACTGAAGCGTTGCACATTTGTACCTGCAGGTGTGTTTCCATTTGTGAGTGATGATGTATGTGATTCAAGAGACTCTGCAAAGAAATCCCCACACGCTTGGTCAGCTGAGAGAAAGAAGTTGGGTTAACGTCTCAGCTACTTGTGGAAATGCACACCACCGTGCTAAGTGGCTGTTGTGAGCTTCATTTCGTCCTACAGTCTGGGTATATTTCCACTGGGACTTCACAGTGGGTCGTCCTTTAGCCACTGATCCCTGGCTCCTACTCTCCACATGTGGAAGTGTCCCGACCAAGACTTTACAGCAGCCCACTGCTCTTAAATACTTAGGGTGGGGTTACCTGTACCTGGATGTATATGACAACGTTTTTCGGGATGGTCATCACATAGGTGGCCCACCTCCTCCCCTCCTTCCCTCCATCATATTCTGCATGTCTGGCTTCTCTCCATCCCTCCTTGCCACTGTCGTGTTTTGGTCCACTATCGCCCCCTCTCATTTCTGCTTAGTCATCCTTGCAGTAACCAGCCACACAAACAAGCCAGTCAGACCAAATGGCTGACCAGTGAGAGGGAGGTTTGCACGAGGAGCTCCACCTTTTTTTCCTTCTTTCACTCTAAATGCTTTCTTTATGAAGTCCCAACTGTACTGTACACGTTGCAGCTCGCCAGGGGCCCTGCAGGTTATGTACATTTCTGGCAAGTTGTTTGTGCGTCTGTGTTTTTATAAAGGTCACTATTTAGAAGCTGTGTGTTGAATGCTTGCTCTGCAGTAACTCCCAACAGAGTCTCACGACCAGGACAACTTCTGAGCCTCGGGCCACATTTCTGCTGCAGCAAAGTAGTTTCCCTATTATGAGAATATGGCGCATGCTAGTTTTATTCTGCTGGGAGTTTACCGCAAATCGATGTAAAATTAAGGATTCCATATTTTGGTGCGTACGTCACATATACATCAGTACTGTAAGACTTGGCGACATCCACACGCAGCACACACACCTACTTCTATTATGCATTTTAAGCACAGACGTATTCTGGATGCAATTTAAAGGTCATGAAGGCTGCATCCCAATTCAGTTGCTGGACCCTTTGAAGTCCCCGAGGCCAAATGTGTGAACAGACTGATAAAGCATTTCAAAGGCAGACTGCAAAATATGGGGCCTGTTCAATGTGTTGCATGTAAAGCAGAGGTTCAACATTTTTGGAAATAAGATTATTTGTTTTCTAACTGAGCGTTAGAGGAGAGGTTCAAAGCCACGCTCATGTCCGTACAGAAAATATTTAGTTTGAGCTGGCAACCATAGCTTAGCACAAAGACATAAAGCACTTCGGCTTTTGACTAATGCGATATAACTTGTTGAAAACACACTGGGCCAGATGAAACACACTAATCAAAACTGGGAAAAATAGATGAAATAGATGCACAGGAATCAGGAAGAGAATCAGTAGCTCAGTGTTGTCCACACACACACACACACAGATCCACCACCCCTTGTGCAGAGGCACACTATGCGTCATGCACTATTTTGGGTTCTAGCTGCTCTGTCAGGGAGGTATTTACACTGATAAAGTCATTCTCGCTGACAGGTGTCTCATATATGCGTCAGTGAAGATTGTCTTGCTGTTAAATTGCTCAAAGCATGCGTCTAGTTGCGTTGACACAGTAACACCATCTGGTTAATGAGGAACATCCAGAGTTTTTAATTAAACCATATTTCATCAATCGTACTGTTGAAAATGTCCAATGCGACCTAAGACGAATGATTCAGTTGGTTTCATGATTAATTCACTCTGTTAGTTACCGTCTCGGTGTTTCTTGCTGATTGCGTTACGACAAAACAGCTTTGAGATGCGCCATTTGTCATATTCGGTCGTCGTGTTGTTGAGACCCGTTGAGTCAAGCAGGAGGCCGTGAACCCTCTGGACAGCTAAATGATCATCAGTATGTTCAGACATGCCGATAAGTGATGGCAGTGTGGCACGAGGGCAGAGGTTACCGAGTTCATGCTGAATGGGCTACGACAGAGAGGGATTTACTGCTACATAGTTTTGAGGGCAGCGCTCTGTATGTTTTTCATGTTTGTGTGGGTTGTTGGATGTTTTACCAGGACAAGAGGTTAAATATCTTTTATACCTACATCACTGGATAAATGACACGGTCAAAGGTTTAAAGAATCAAGTGGAACATAAAATGGTCGAGGCACTTTTAGGCCACATATCTATCTACATATGTTTTTTTTAAACTTTCACTCTTAAGTACTTATGTAGCTTCTAATTGACTCTGTGGTTCGGAGTAAAATTTCACTTTTAAATGCCTGTTCATACTTAAGATATAAGCCCATTTTTTTTGATTTACTGAATGTTATTTATGCCGTCCTGTGGAAAACCAATTTCTTTTTACAAATAACACCAGACTGGTCACAGTTAGTCGTGGCTCAGCTCGTTGTGAGCATCCACACTTGAACAATGCATTTGAAGAACGCCACCAGGAATGACAGAGTCCTTCTGTATCGAATACTGTGCCTATCAGAGTTGCCATCATTGGGACTCGCTCAGTATTCACGTTCAGTACCAGAACTCAAAGGCACAATGACGCACATATAGTAAGAACACACCAGAGGTGGGTTGAGCAAACGTGTCCTGCAAATTTTCTTTGCGACGAGGTTTATCTTAGTTTGCATAAGATCTGTGTTATTATCTCCAGTACCAGTGTATTGCATTGCCTCCTGTGTGATAGGTTGCTTCCATGGAGTAAGACACAAACTCTTACTGACACGGCTTCTTTTTGTCTCTAGGAACTGAAAGACCTGACTCTGCGAAACGAATGCTTAGATCTGAAAGGTAAGCACCAAAACATCAGCATACCATGAATCCAACGAGTGGGAATCAACACATACCAATCCCCTTTTCATAATGGGAGATTCATTTTTACTAAATCTATCGATGTATGTCTTTAGGTGAGAAACTGGACTACAAAGCATGTGAGTCTCTGGAAGAGATTTTGAAGAGGGTCCAGTTTAAAGTGATAGACCTGGAGCAAACCAACCTGGATGAAGATGTAAGAAGATTTTAAAATCTGCCTCTATCTCATTCCCAGCCTTTATTTCCAGTAGCTAGCATACTTCCATCTTACTTCCATAATTCATGCTTGTCACTCTTTTCTCTTTCGCTGTTTCTTCCTGCCCTCAGTCACGCTCTCGTCCTCTTTTTTTCACTCTCACCGTACTGACAGGATGTGAATTGTTTGCCACGGAGGGTTTTCTAATTACTCCAGATGTCCACTTGTGTAAACACTGTTGAGGGACGTCTGGGCTGCAGACACGCACAGATAGACAGTGCTGCAGTGTGGAGCAGAGGCACACAGCCTGGACCACTTCCTTTCACACAGAGCTCCAAACATCCCGTAGAACAGTCGGACCCATGCTCTGCTGTTAGCCAGATTCACATAAGATGAGCTTCTTTCGGGTTCGGAAGGGTCACTTTAATTACTGCTCATTCTTGTATTCACGCTGGCAAAGCCATGTCAGGACTTTCACACTTTAACCACAGAGTTGATTTAGGCCCCAATCTCCTGCTGTTTTTCACCACACTTGTAGGTGGTGTGATAGTTGTAGTCCTGTCTTTAGAGACACGTGTGGACTTAAGGATCATTTGGGCAGCTGTCTTACTACCCCCCAGACTGTCGGTTAAGCGTGCAGTTTGATTTGCATGAACATGAATATGATTAAAGGTACCCTGTGGAGTTTTTGAACACTAGTAGCTCTATGGAGCGATGTCTTTTAGTCACCATTTTGTTTGTATCATGTGATTGCGCACAACGACACCCAGGATGTACACTGCAGATGGTTTTATACATTTACGCTCATTAACAGTTCATCAACCAAGCCAAGGAAGAACAATGCTAACGAGTAAACGTGGATGTAAACAATATAGGCAGCAAATTCACACAAAAAACACATTTGTTAGACCATAAGATACACACAGTGAATGTAAAACAGTGAATTTAAAACATAAATTGAAAACAACACATGGTACCTTTTTAACATAGAAGCATGTGAGAAGACTTACAAACAGCTTCAAACCCACATAAACAACAGAACAAAGCTCATAACACTGAAGTTTAACAAATGCCTTAGCCCTAATAACCAACAACTAAATATTATCATTTGATATATTAGCAGGCAGTAACAGTGTCTTGATGGAAAGCACGACTATATAGGACAAGAGATTGATTTAGTGGCCCGAGCCCTTTCTGTGTAGAGGTTGCATTTCTTTGTGTTTGTGAGGCTTTCTTTTGTTTATTCTGAGTTTCTGATTTATTAAAATCTGCCCAACATCATCAACAATCACCTAACTCCATCTCTTACTGCAAGCTTGAGCAATCCCAGTGAAAGCTGTAAGTAGTGGCTAACAAGTCTTCACTTTCAAATTGATTGATGGATAAATGATGTCCGTTTGTGGCATTGCTTCCTTTGACTTGCCTAACTAATGTAGATTAATATCCGATCACTATACGGGAACATCTGAGATAACGAGAACGCATTTTAATTCCAGTTGTAAATGCCAAGACCCATGAATCAGATCTCATTATCCAGATACAGATCACGTTAATAACCAGGTGTTGTCCACATGCGATTGCACTGAGATGGACTGGTGTTCTGTGTTTTTGTTTCATAGTATAGTTTTTATTTATTCACAGAACTGAATGCAAACAATTGACGTTCATATTGTTCATTCATCAACAATATTGTACATATACTTTTTCAACAGATCTATGTTTTAGAAAATGCACACACACACACACACACCAACCGGAGCTTCACATAATCCAAACAAATTCAGAGTGACGTACGCCTTTTAATCAGCAGACATAGAGCGCTGCCCCGGAAATATGAATGAAGCAGTTGAATGAGTCACCAGAGGGCTGCATCTCGGTCTGGAGTGTCTCGCCTTGGGCTCAGATGAAATGAAAAGAGTTGAAAGGAGAAAAGGAAGTTGAGGGTAGAACGGAGGTGGGTGGGATAGAAAAGGAATCGAATGGGAAGTGAGAGACGTACAGTAGTAGCAGTTGAATTTGGCAGAGCTCCAATACTTGTAATAATATGGGAAGATGAAAGGAGAAGAAATAGATTTGGAGACATGTTTTTAGAAGCATGGGGAGGAGCAGAAACACAAGATGGCTTTTATTGGGCTGAATGTGACTCACCTTCCCCCACCCTGTAGATAAACACGCTTGTGTATAGACTATATAATGTCTCCGAGTATACACACACACACACACACACACACACACGTATGAATGTGTGTATGTGTATGTGTATATGTAT